AAATATTTTTTTTTACCATTACGCAATTTTAAGCAATGTTTTAATAACTCTAATCAAAAAATCAACATCAGATACGAATATATCTTCATCAATATTTATTATACTTTATACAATTTCTTTCGATATAAATATAACCAGATATCCGAATATATTTCAGAGTACGTATATTTACCTAAACTTGAAATTATATACATGAAGTTATATAATATATATATATTGAAATTATATAAATTATATACCTCTATCGGAAACCGGGTTCAAAATTATCATAACATTTTTTTTTATATGTGTCATTATAATTCCCCAATATATGCCTCCGCTAATTATCCACGATGGTTCATGGCTTTGACTCTTTAATTTTTAACTACGAATGACAAACAATGACAAATCTAAGTAAACACGACGCAAAATCTTTTATTCTGTGTGTATATTATTTAATTAGGATACTGTTACAAACACCTGACACGACGTTGCTAGCGGTAGCATTTTGTTGTTCCAGTTAACTTAAAATATTAAGGTAATTATCGTAATAATCATCATTTGGAACTCTGCTCGGAAATACCGGAACGATTAAAAAGAAAATGCAAAAAACTTTTTACTTACAGTTACGAAACTATTACTTCTAAATACAGTACGGTGATAAAGTAATTCCCAGTTACACATTATAAATACAGAATAAAATACGGTACACAATAATAATTTAGGGATTTCAAACGGAAGTATTATCCACTCTATGCCTGTAACTGACTATTTCCCACTGGAGGTTACATGTAATGTAAAGGTACTTAGGCCTAAATTTAATTTTGTAAAACAGTGTCCGAATAGAGTTATCTGGGGAGAGGGATTCGACGCAAATAAATGAATATTATAACTTGTGTAACGCGCAACTAAAAGATGTCGGTTTTCCTGAGGGGCTTCGTCTGTGTAACAGTGATATATATGTAACGATACTGCGCACAGGAGGAAAATTGATAATTTGTACAGTACAATTATAAGCGTAATGAGTGAGGCGGCTGACAGGTGTTCCAGTAATAAGGCGGTTAGAGGTAAACGTCATGTTGTTGGTTGGAATAAGCACGTGAAGCAATTACATGGGGAGGCCCGGCTGAGTTTCCAGAATTGGGTTGGTTACAAGTGGTGGTTCCACTTGTAAAAAATAAAACGGGGGATGTGTCTGATTTAGGTAACTATAGGCCAATATCGTTAGCCACCATAACAGCTAAAATACTGGACTGCTTGCTTGATCGCATTTTAACGAAACACCTAGTCTTGCATGACGCACAGTTCGGGTTCAGTCCCGGATTATTCACAGAGAGCGCGGTATTATGCCTCAAGCATACAGTTCAGTATTACACAAAAAGAAGGAGACTCTCAAAGGCTTTCGACCATGTCTCACATGACGTGCTATAGCAGAAGCTGCGCAGTGAGACGGATCTCCCGGAAGAAGTCACTGGGTTGTCCCGCTACTGGTACGAAAATCAGACTAACAGTGTTAGATGGGCGGGAGTGTATTCAAAAGATTACAGGTTGAAATATGGGGTGAGACAAGGGGGGTTACATCGCCGAAGCTTTTCAACCTGTATATTAATGCATTGATCGTGGAAGTCAGCAGCGCCAAAGTGGGTTGCTCTATTGATGGCACTTTCATTAATAATATCAGTTACGCTCATGATATGGTGCTGTTGACTCCTGCGATCAGTGCACTTGGTAAGCTGCTCAGGATATGTGAGATATATGCGGAAGCCCATGGACTCAGGTATAACACGAAAAAGACCGAGCTCCTAGTTTTTAAGCCGAAGGCAGGTTCTGTTGGAACTGCGCCGCCGGTGTTTCTCTATGGCAGTGAGATAAGTCGTGTCTCTCAATTTAAGTACCTGGGTCACTGGGTAACCGATAACTTGCATGATAGTGCCGACATGGAGAGGGAGAGAAGGGCCCTGTTTGTTAGATGTAATATGCTCGCCCGCAGGTTTGCTCGTTGCACCAAAGATGTAAAGATTTCATTATTTAAAGCATATTGCCAAAACTTTTACACAAGCAGCCTGTGGGTGAAGTATACGCAGAGAACCCTGAATACATTAAAGGTGCAATATAACAACGCTTTTAGGATGCTGATGGAGCTGCCGCGACACTGTAGTGCATCCGGCTCACGGAGGCGCACACAGATGGCTTTCATGCCATTATGCGCAAGAAGGCTGCCTCACTTATGATGCGTGTGCGCGGCAACGCTAATAGCATCCTAGCCGTTGTTGCCAATAGGCTGGACTGCCCCTGGACTGCCCCTACCAACTACATTGGGTGCAACTACACGTGCGTAGGGTAGTGGTCTAGACTTTCACTTCTTTTCACTAAAATTAAGTAATTTTGTATTGTACTAACCATAGCACGTAAGAAAAATTTACTGTATTACTAACATTATTATGGATCATGGTCCGAAATAAATAATTCTATTCTATTGTATTCTGTAACATCGAAATAAGTACCATTTCGATGTCTGATTATGACATCGCTCGTTCGACGACACACATACTCAAACGTTATGATGTATATGGTCGTAACGCATTTGTATCGTTTGTATCATTTAAAAGACAAATGACAGTCGGTAGTCGTTGACAATTTATTACATGTGTATTTGAATAAGCCTTGTATTGGCTTCAATAAAGGATGCGTTGTAGTATCAGGTGGTATGGTTTTCTACGACACAAGACTAACTCCACTGAGATCATATTGCAATTATGATAATATTTGTTATTCTGCTAAAATCTAGTTGTAATGGAAGTTTAGTCCCAATAGTTTCAGTGGAATGACACCGATGGCATTCATTCACGCACAACGTAGTCTACACAGATCGGCAATAAATAGATGTGAAGCTGTAAAAGTAATTCGTTGCATATTAATTACTATGCGTAGCTTAATTTGTAGCCCGTATAATCAGCAATTTAGTCTACAAATTAAAAATATATGTCGGAGCCAGCTTCACTTCAAAAGGAATTTATTAGATAAACGATTTACTAGGCTATTTGGTGTGCTGTGTGGTTTCTTTGTTTGCAAATGTCACGTCAGTTTGTTAGCTCAAACTGGGTATGGTCGGAGAGAGAGGGCTTTTTGCGTAAGTTGCTTGGACAGTGAAGACGTATCGCCTCGCTCTCTCTGAACTTGTCGCATGATATTTAAAATCCGTTTTAACCTTATCCATCTCTTATACTTTCGAACTAATTATTGTGAAAAGTGCATAAAATAACTAATTGCAATAAGTTTTTTTTCACCTTTTCATTCCACACACCATTTCATCATTTCACCGCCGGTTGAACTGATAACGAAAAATGAATAAGCCGATTACCAAGTAATTCCTGACTAAATCTGCATCGAGGGTGTTTCCGTCGACATCTCCCTTTAACTCCAACATATTTATTATTACTTGACTACTCCATCGACGTGCCATCGACTCGCCACTGAAGACCAGAATACCAAAAAATTCCAATGGCAGTTGAATAGTAGCTCGATTGTTTAGCACTGACAAGCCACTAGCCTTAAGTTTTAGCAGAATACCAAACGTACAAAATCCTACAAAATTGACACACTATCAATACACAACTGGAATGATTTAAAATTAATTTAAGATTTAAGATTTAAATTTAAAAGTAATAAAAGATGATGAAAAGCGCTTAGTACGCCGGAATATCGATCAAGTAAGGATGATATCCCGATTTACGTCTGGATGTCCCATGGTGGGTGGGATGAGCTGACGGAGCTCATGGGCGCACTCACCGAAATATATTCTGTAGAAAACCGACATAGGGGCAACTTTGCGCTGATGGACTAAACTATGAAGTTTAGATTCGAGCTTATCGTCGCCAATAAGTCTCCTGGCTCAGCGCTCAAGACCTACACCATTATTATTAAAAATAAAATAATATTTTTATCATTTATAAACAAATTACATTTGAAATAATCGAGTTGGTTGAACATTGCTACTCATTCGTAACGCAGATTCCTCTACAAAGAAAGAGCGAGTAATTTGATCTTTGTAAACAGATCAATTGTTCACATATGTATATCATTTGAAATATTGACTTAAATATTAATTTATTCGATTGTACAAACTTGTTTAACTCCGCTTTACGACTGGCGTCAATAAAAATAAATGTTTCACAAATTCACTATGTAATTAATACAGAACCCTTAATGAAAAAAGGTGTGAGTCTAAAATTCGTATTTTGAGAGAAATGGAAATTTTTCAAATCAAATGTACTTAGTTTATTATTCAACGTTACACATTCTCAACTGGAAAGCTAATTGTTTCGCTTTTTTAACCGACTGCAAAAAAGGACGACTTCGACTTTATTAATAATATTCCTTATTAAGCAATCTGTTCATTTCTGTGGAATCACATGGTGAAATTACAGGTACATGGGACTTGTCAACTTCTGTCTCAGGGTGACGAGAGCAGTGGTAGTGCCCTACAGAACTTTGAGATTTAAAGCACTGAGTGGCACTGAAACTGTTACGGACAGATGTGTCGCTTACCACCAGGCGCACGACATGTTCGTCCCGTCACTTAGTAACATAAAAAAACGGTATTGGTGTACATTTAAAAAAAAAAAAAAATTATTAATATAAAGATCGAACACTCAGAAAAAATTCCTTCGATCCGCCCGGATTCGAACCGACGTCTTCTAGCATACCGTGCTAGATGCTATACCAGCTAAGCCACGGAACGAACCATCGGACCTCATGAATTTTTCTGTGTTTGTTGTCGTGTCTTTGTATTTGGTTTTATCAACAACGTTTTATTATTTTTTTTTAGGCGTAGTGACATCTATGAGAAATCTTAAGTATTTAGTCGAGTAATTTCACATAAAAAATAATTAAGTATCAATTCAATAAAAATTTTAATAGAAAATAGTTTTTCTTTCTTAAACTATGGCTATGCAACTAAGAAGAAAGCAATACGCCTTTCCCCGTGCCCCAATAAAAAACAAAACTAAAAACTTGCTTACCCCTTGTGAAGAACACGCTGACCATAAATGAGAACGAGAGTGAAGACAATATATATAGCACCATGAAGAAGAACAGTACGGTCCATGGCGTATAGGTTAACACCGAGAACTTTCCTGCCGTCAATGGAATCTAAAATAGAAAAGATCACATCAGCATACATTTGTTTAATGGGAGTACCCCATTTACCGTATTGTACCGAATTGAGAAATAAATTCCCTTTTTATTAAAAAAAAAAACTAATTTAAACAAGCAAGGATGAGATGAGGTTTGTCACTAAGCATGATGTAACTTTTTAAGACCATAATTTTTTTTTTCCATCAAAATCGCGTATACCATCAGCCGTAACCAATGAACCTGTAAAGAACCTGATTTAATATAAATATAAATTTTAAATAATAATATAAAGCATTTTAGGGCTTGGAAGGCAACCAAAGTACAATTTGGCCCCAAATTCAAGGCTATAGTGAATAGGCATTTAGGCAAACGCGTCCCACCGTCGTCGGTCACATCGTCGCTTAATATGTGTCTATTTATTATACGAGTATATATAAAAAAAAGCATTGGTTAATTTGAAGGAACGTCTTTTTCCTGTGAATTATATAAATACTTCCATCCAAAGGTTGTCTGGCAGAAATTGCTTAAAGCGATAAGACCGCCCATTGTAACCGCTTATTTTTAATTTAATTGTAATGTATTTGTTTCCTTTTTTGGTGTACAATAAAGAATTTTTGTATTGTATTGTAAGGAAACATATATAGGCAATTTATATCCGAAAAATGTGTCATTGTGTATAGTCACGCCTAATGTTGAGTACCTAATTATCCGAAAAATTTGAATGAAAATGAAATAAAATAAAATGAAAAATTTAATTTGAAAACTTATATTAATATGTTCCACGTTTAGAAATATCTTTTGAAGTTTTATTTAGCGCGAATTATACAATCTAGCTAAAAGCCACTTAGAGGAAAACGAGGCTTAAAATGATTTCAAACTGTTCGCATAGCGAAAAACATTATTGATATAGTTTTTTTTAATAGCTCCATCGATTTAATTCAGTAACTTCAACTTTTGACGGGTGTCAACGTCAAATGTGGAAAATTAAAGGAAAAATATTTTTATATCACAATTTTCAAAATGGGAATTTTTCCATGACCCAACACTAGATAGGCCATTTTTTATTATGATATTACGCACTGTAACATACGGCTGACGTACATGATGTACATATTTTTTGTGAATGTACTTGTGTTAGTTTAAGAGAAAAAAATACAATTAAGGTGGAGTTGTTACGGAGAATTCTCTGTAGCCACGCCACCTATTATTAATACTTGTAGATAAAATATTAGCTATTTTTATGAATTTATTTATTATATTATTAATATCAAGTGGCAGGACGAACAAATCGTGCGCCTGGTGGTAAGCGACACACCTAGCCAAAACATATGCAGTGCCACTCTGTGCTTTAAATGGCAAAGATCTTAGGGGGTCTGCCTCTGCGCCCATCACCCTGAGACATAAGTTGACAAGTCCCATGTGCCTGTAATTTCACCAGCACTCTTGCCCTTCCAGACCGGAACGCAGTAATGCTCACATTATTGCTTGACGGCAGAAATAGGTATGGTAATGAAAAATGTGAAGGAAATGAGAGATTCAGGTTTAGTGTTATTTCTAATCTAGATGGGAATGACCGTGTAAAAAGATAATACATCTTTGCACAGTGCATGACTACCATTAAAAAGCTACAACGTACCTTAAGTAACGTGACCATTATGACGATAGAAACCAAAAGAAACGTGAATTGTTTAATATACCACGCTAGCCAGTGAAGCCAAGAGGGCAGACCCATTATAGTCATTGTTTCCTGATGAAAGAAAAAGCTGTTGTGAAAAGTTGTATATCAAAAAAGTTATACATTTCCCTGCAATTAAATGTATATAAGTCATTTTGCATAAAAATTATTAATTGAAATTATAAAACTATCAGTTCGAAATTCATTCCACGTTTTGCACAAAGAATAGGCAATCCTGCTGCCAAATGTTAAATATTAACATTAATATTTAACGTCATTTCGCTACGAATAGAGCGATGCCACACGATGCGTTGCGTCTGCGTTGCGATGACTGAGCGGTGTCGCTACGTTGTACTACATATAAATCAGAACGACACGCCACGTACCGTGCGTTGAAAGCGCGCGGCGACGGAACGTAAACGCATAGGACAAGGAGCCAGGAGACGAAGCGGGGAAAGAAAAAAAACGACACCGTATTGTTCCCGTGGCACTCGATGCGTTGAAATCATAGCGTTCGTTGCGACGGCGTAACGCACCGGCAGCGCCCGTGTGGCATCGCTCTAAATTGATACAATGGATTTATTAAACATATCGAAGGTTAACCGGCACTGTTTTATATGCTACATTGATATGAAACGTGTTTTATAAATATTTTTTTATTTTACATTTAATTTAAACGTACACAGACTTACTTTTACGATTTTCACATATTATTTGATTTTAAATTATGGACTTAATCACGTTTAAAAACATTTTATTTACCTCGACGTTTCAGACGTACTGTCCATGGGTCTATTATTACAAATAACAGTTTTTTGTGTAAACAGAGGTTGTTTAAACACAAAACAGTTCCTACTCACTCACCTTTAGTTGTAACTCTTTCTCAGCTGTGACCATTCTGACCGTGTTCACAAACGTATACGCGAAGCAGAGCATTATTATCATAGATACAAATCTTTCCAGTGCAATTAACAGATTGTCATCTCTATATTGGTGTTGTGGAAATCTCTGCATGTATACCTGTGTACTATAAGGATGACCCGTCTTCATAGCTATTATCTCTCTGGATAAAGCGTGTTGCATTCCAAGAAAGAGCTCAGGCACATATCCTTAAAATAAACTTGCTTTAGAAATAACATAATGCGTAACTAAATATGTACGTACTCTATTAAACAAAACGGCGTTACAATGAACCGTTATAGATTAATCATTACAACACACATTTTTACTACATATATGACGTCAATATAACAGTGATGTTGCTTGTATACGTATTTAAAATGATTTTAAAAGAACGATTATTTTTCACAGGACAGATACACGATTGGTAGAGTAAAGGCGCGTTCCCATTATGTCGTACCTTTTTATTTATCGTTTAACTACTGTCGCGGTTAGCCTGTTCCCATATCACAACTATTTGTCGTGACTGTGTCGTGGACGTTTATTTTATCGTTCAACGACTGTCGTGTCTAGCTGTTCCCAGTAGGTAGTGACGACAATTTATCGGATCACGGCAGCCGCCTTGTCGTTTGCACGACAGAATCGTTAGAAGCTGTGATTATCGGTCGTCACATTTTTGTCTCTTCCCATTGTCACGACAATCCATCGTTGTAACGTCATGAAAGTCGTGAACGACAGTTAACCGTGTTGTTCTACGTGTGGACAACTTCATTTAAATATACAAGCCACGACACTTTAAACTGCACGACTATCTGTCGTCACGACATAATGGGAACACGCGCTCAGGTTAAGTTTCGTATATAACTGTGTCGTTTGTGGCTATGTCGTGTGTTCTTTGTGGCCCTGTCTTGTTTGGTAATGCTCGATGTTTAACCTCGCCATTCACTGCATCCCTAGCAAACTACGCTACTTAGTTCATTTTCATTTGTTTCATTTACATTATCGTGCTCTCGGTAATCGTTAAGATGCTGGACTGCCACACAGAAGTTCCGGGTCGGGAGAAATATTTGTATGGCCTACATTTATTTCTCTCTTGAGTTTGGCCGTAATTTATGGTTGACTATACTGTGTCCATGGCACCCGCGATACAGTGCCTAGTGCGAGGCTATGAGTGTGAAACAATAAATTGCAGCATGTTCAATTTATGTTCTATGTTAGCCTTAATTTATGTTCTACTTTATACCTGGCACTTTGCCCCCAAATTTGTCATCAGGGGCGCGAGGTCCCGGTCGTGGGAACAGAGGAAATAATAAATTAGTTCTCCAACTCGCTCGGATAGGGTGATCGACTATGGGCGTCCTCATAACTGCGGGAAACCTCAATGTTACCCTTATTTTATCTGGCCATGATGAGGCATCTGAAAAATTATTTCGAAACTAATGATCGTCCTTTATATTCCTGACTTGCGACTAGTTAATTGCAAGAATTTATTCGTTATTGTAGAGCACGTCTCATTCAGTTTAGATCAGTCAAAGCTTTATAACGCGATCTTACTTACGGAGGTAGATATATAAGACAAGAAAAAAAACGAATTTCACTTCACCAGTAGGTATAACTTACACGACAAAGTGCCACTTGCGTCAGAGCGACATAAAGCGCGAGATTTCTAGTCGAATTCAAAGTCAAACAATCATTCATTCCGTAGGTAATTTTTACACATGAAAACGGCATTTTAAGCTACTGCTCGTTCACTACGCTGATCTCCCTGAGAAGAACGAGCAATAAACTCTAGGGATCGCTCTTTCCAAATAAACTTAAATGCTATGGAATACACTTTGTATCATAATTGTGTGGAATCTAGACTCATGTTGTCTTTCCATACATCTTTATCTAACACATACTCTTCAATTTTGTAGTATTTTTCAATTGAAATACTTTTAAACTTAGTAAATGATAATCGTAATATATGCACCGTTATCTTATTGTAAAAACGTATACAGTTTCCATAAAAGACTCGTTTACCTTAGTTAAACGAAATCGTGGTACCATGAGTTTGAAGTTAGTTCTAAGGTTAATATTATACGCATCTTCTTACTTAATAAAATTATGTATATTTTTACGGGCATACAAAATATTTCAGTAAATATACTGTGATGCTACAGTCATGATACCAGTCTCCTTAAACTTTTCTCTGAGTCGAACCCGAGAACCTAAATGGTACACAACGAATCGCTCATTTTTGCAACACAAATATGGTTTGTATATCTGCCGCTTTACCCCACATAAGAATATACCTAATCTATGCGAAAATAGCAGTATCTCGTGCTTTATGTCGCTCTCGCGCTAGTCGCATCGTATCGTGCTACCGGGTTTTTTCAATCGCGATAAAAACTCAGGCAAACACTGCATAGGGTCAAGACATACTCTTACTCAGCGATAAAATATCAGTCAATACATAAGTTGATAAGTCCCATGTGCCTGCAATTTATTAAATAGATCGAATAGTTTGTTTAAATAAGGTTGCGTACCAGCTGTCATCAGATATCTATCCTGTTACCACCGTTCTCTGCTTCAGCTATTTCAGTAGGGCTAGCACGACAAGTCTCGACTTGCACGAGAGCGACATAAAGCACGAGTCTATGCGAGTATAGCAGTATCTCGCGATTAATGTCGCTCTCGCGCTAGTCGTGTCCTGTCGTGCTAGCCCTACAGAACATCATTTTATTATTAACGATGCTGACAAACCGTCAACGACCTCAAAGAGTGAATTTTGACTCTTATTTTGCATCGCAATGAGTATATCGTATAACACAAAATCAGTTAAGTCAATTTTCATATGCATAAAAATGAAAACAAAACAACTCACTTGCCAAGTTATCATCATATTGGACACCAAGAAGAGTGGTCTTCATAACATTTGGTTGTGTCATGGCTACTTCCAAATCTCGGGCATTAGCATACCCCTTTGGAACAGGAAGGTCTGATGCATCAAAGAAAAGCGACAAGAACCCTAGGTTGTCGGAGGCCACTGCTGCCATGGCTTTTGCTGTGACAGCTCTGGTTAGAGGATTCTCTGGTGAAAATGCTAGAGTCCCTTCTTTTCGTACTGCTGACAGGTTTCCACTGGATTAGATAGAAATTTATTTACTTAAGAGTAAAAAACGTTAATTTATGAGAAACTAAGTTTTACGTATTTACAAAACACCTTTTGCAATTTCATAAAAATATGAACAACAGAAACAGAATACGTAGGACCTCTATGCCAAAAAAATAGTACAATGTTCACCAATAGGAGATAGTGGTGGATTACCAACCAGTGTGTAGTTTGTGATACGTAATCCGAATGATATGTAGCAATAGTACTACCTATGTAGTGCTTTAAACTACATTTACGAGGAAAGTAAAAAACTTGCTCATTATTAATTCCGAGCAAGTGTAGTTTGAAGTCAACTTGCACCACTTACTAATATAGGTTCTATTCCACAGACATAAATATAAATAGAACGGCGATGTAGGCGGGGCACATATGAATACAATATGTTGATTTGCATTATTGCCATATTTACAAAGGTAATTCTATATCCGAAACTGAACCCAAATCACTAAAAAAATTAATCGAAAAAAAGATTTTCTAAATGCTTATTTTTTATTTAATTGCAGTAAACATCGATTCGCAATCACCTGATCCTGCTTGACCCAAAGGTAATTGACTTGCACGGCACGTGTTAAACTTATAGTGCAGCCGGAGGAACCGAGAAAGTATTGCTATTATATTTCTTTCTTTCTTACGCATAAGGACGAGGTGGGAGGCCGAACTCGCCGCAACACAAGTGATCTTGAACTAGTCTCTCACGAAATGCCACTTGTTTTGTTATGTAAACAAGAGTTAGTGCAAAAAAACTACCAGGTTCACCACAACTTGCATTACCATCAAGTGCAAGTGCGTGACTATTCTAATGGCATACTGTGAAACGTTTGGTTTACGCGGAGTTTACGAGTGTCGAAGAGGTTAAAACTTGTACTTAGAACTACACGAAGAAGGATGCGATAGTTTTAGAAACCCATGTCCATTATCGACAGCATGTTTGAAATACATATCTTAATCATTCTCATTACAGGTATTAAGTACGATTTTTTTGTCGGAATTTTCCTAAATATTCCGAGAAATTGGTGGTTGCAACAACTCGTCGCAAAGTTTAGATTAATATAGACTACCTACCTGTCCCAAATAACGTTCATTTTAATGTACTTAAGTGATTTCCCGAATCCCTGATAGATCTGGGACAAAAAGATGTCGTTATAAGGTAATCTCCACTTTCTGTCTCTGTTCCTCGAAAGATTAGGTAAAAAAACTCTACCTATTCCGATCACTGCTAATTATGCACACTCAAGGTCACGTAGTGGGCGCAGTTTATCATAAAGGTTACAAGCTTGTAGGACTTGCACGAGAGCGACATAAAGCGCGAGATCTCTACGCGAGAATAGTTGTCGTGCTAGCCCGAAAATAGCAGATTCTCGCGCTTTATGTCAACCTCGCGCTAGCCTTACTATAGGGCTTACTATGGCCTTATACATCACAACAGCGCGAAAGCGACATAAAGCGCGAGATACTGCTATTCTCGCATAGAGGTCTCGTTTATGTCGCTCTCGCACAAGTCGCACCCTGTCGTGCTAGCCCTATAACACTGTTGCCAGATTGGGCGATTTTTCTACGTTTAGGCTACTTTGAAAGGTCGCGCGGCAACTAAAAAAGTGATCGGAGTCTCGGTGAAGAATGGCAACACTGCCCTATAATCCCTTTAAAAAAATGTAACATCACCGCTTTATTTCGATTTATTTCTGTGTTATTCAGTAATAAAATATTTTGTACGTGTATGTTATCTATCGCATAATACAAAATTTAATTACTAATTATGTGGTACCATAAAAACTAAAATTTAGAAATCAACTCAAGAATATTAAAACCATACAATATCGAATATAAGCTGTAAGTAATCTTTAATTGTTTCGTATGACTTTTTTAAATCCGTGTCGAATATAATAATCATAAGGGCGTGCAAGTTTCATGATTCCCAAGTTGATTTCCAAATATTAATACAACTCACTACCTACTTAAGACGTTTAGATAAAATTTATTTGGTCAGTTTAGACGACATTTACATCCACACAACACAATGAATATATCTATATTTCATAAACAAGAAAAATACTCACAGACTTTGCGATATATTGAAATAAGTTGGGCGGAATTCCGTATAGTTCTTCGCCTGTTTTAAATCCGGCTCCACGAGGCATCTTAGTAGAATTAAGAAAAGAGAAAATATCACAGGCGATGCTATTTCGAACACTGTTTGCCATTTGTGTCTTCTTTGCAGAAGGAAATTCTTCCACACTAACAGTTTCAATTTCTGATACCAAGACATTTTCGGTAATCTGCAATTAAAAATAACCCTCAATAAATTCAAGGTTTTTATTTTAATAATAGTTACACTAATCAACATAAAAGGGCTTTTCATTAATTATATCAATCGATCGACTTTTCCTACAAGGTGTATATCAACTACTGCGAAAAAAGAATATTATATTTGCGTACATAACACGCTACGAAAACAGCTCACCATTGGCCACCATAATCACTGCATTTGCAAACCACATGAATACTTCTTCTCCATTACCTATGAATTATTTCGTAATCTTTATTTATTGACGAACACCATGTAATAAAATTCTAAAATACATCCACCCACTCTCCGTCACAATTACCACATTGAAATGTCTGTGGTCGACTGACTGAAGAACGTAATCTGTCAAAGAAACTGACAAGACAACTCGTGTATGACTGCAATAGTGACGTCAATAGCCATGTCGACGATTGACTAATCATTTTCTAAAACCAACCCCGCTACAAGATCAAAGGTTTTCTCTCCATCCTCTAAGGTTTTCTCTGTAAAATACAACATCATAACCCTTATCTCTGCTTATTTTACATTGGCTCGGATTGATGTTAGATGACACACTATTATTATTTACTGCATAATAACTAAAAAGATACAGGTAGGATACAAGAAAAGATTAAATACATGACATACTCGACCAGATTATAAGAGCATTGATAAAAGGAAATTAAATTAAAGCGATTGAACCACCATTATTTAATAATGTGAATATGCACGTACAAAATATCATTTAAACGATATTAAAAAAGTCCCATTTAATAACATAAGTTCGTAAAAACTAATTCTTGATGTAATGTATTGAGGATTCACAATCATTACTTGCGTTCTGTTTGTCTATTTTTCAAAGTCATAAATGACGTAATAAAGCAATTTTGTTACTGCAAGCAGGTAGGTACACGCATATACGAGTATATACGTCTCTGGATAGGTAGGTACATAAATTAAAAAGAATTATTGAGATTCTTTATAAAAAAAAATGCATAAACAAATATACGCTTAATATCAACAAATGACAATTGAATGAAATATACTCGATAAGGATGCCGAACACTTCTATTTTTAAAATTTAAATATTTTATTTTATTTTACAGTGTCTAAGTAGCCAGTTCTAAAAACTTTCAATGTCATCCTCGTATTTACTGACTTTGTTTACGATTTGTTGTTTTTTTTTATAACATTAAGTAACGAGAGAACACGCCGTGCGCCTGATGGTAAGCTACACACCTGTCCATAACAGTTCCAGTGCCACTCAGAGCTTTAAATCGCAAAGATCAGAGGGGCACTGCCACTGCGCCCGTCAGCCTGAGACATAAGTTGACAAGACCCATGTGCCTGTAATTTCACCCTTACCCTTCAAAACTGGAAAACAGTAATGCTAACATTACTGCTTGGCGGCAGAAATAGATAATGTGGCAGTACCAACCTGGACAAACTCTTTCAAAAGGTGCTTTACTGCTACTACTAATTTTGTATGTGTGAATGTCAACAACACAATGGTTTTGAACTTTGGACATTAGAATCATCTTATTGTTAGCAGTATGGAGTTAATTTTATAATTTCCTTTCAAGCTTGATGTTCAGTTGGAATGAAAATATATTTTAAACTTAAACTTTGCAAACCTAATTTTTAAAACTAACATCGAGTAAACTGTTTTAATAATTTAAATAAAAAATAATCTTTTTTCTTACTATTGAAATATAAATTTTGTTTCAGATTGTAAATAATATAATTATTTTGTATTATTTTATTATTATGGATTATTTTGCCATTTTGAATGGGCTTGATCATCGGAGAAAAAACTTTGAAAGCGGTTTAAGTTATTACTATCAGAACATTAATAATTTGAAACACTGTAAAATCTTGATAACGATTGGTCGTAGTTTCTAATTTAAAAAGAAGTGACAAATTCTGATAATATAATTTCAACTTTACTTTTGCGCGAGTTAATTGACACAACCGTAACGTATAACGTATTTTGTATGATAGCGAAAATGGCGGACTGAGCTTAAGTATGTGGAACTTTGCATACTGTTGGCACACATATCCCGCAAACTATGCACACATTTTATAGTTTTGTGAGCTCGATAATATTCATTACGTCGTACATACATCACTAGGGGACCAAAAACCAGACCTAAGGATATTTTTTTAGAGTTCGAGTTTTATATGTGCAAAAGAGATAGATAGTTAATACTTCCATTGGATGATTAAGTGCTTTGTCTCTTTTGCTAGTTACAAATGACGTAAAAACCGTACAAAAAGTGTTTTAACCATAGGCAAACGTGTTCATGGATAAAAAAAATCAAAATGGCGCATACGTCAGTGACATATCAATGTTTTCCACTTTAATTCTTTTATTATAATCTAAATAAATGTGAAATAAGTTCAGACTCGACAATCATGTCTACTAATAATTTATCATCAGTTCTAAAATCGTGTTCAGAGAGTGAGTTAATCAATGAGGTATCTGAAACTAATATGACACCAAAGCAAGTTGAAGGTTCTCGCCTCAAACGTACTTTTACACTGCCTCGCAATCCTTTTGGGACAATTAAGCCTAGTTCGAGTAAGAATAAGAGCGTTGAAAATGATGGTAAGCCGACTAGTGCAAGTTCTGCATCAGTGGAACCTCACAGAGAGGATGGTGTTATAGAAAGGAAGTTGTTTAGAAGGCCATCATGGAAACGGTTTCTGAATAAAATTGCTCAGCACATGAGCACCGTCAATGTGTCTGGGGTAAGTATTGCAGCAATATTGCATCATCTATGCATACATTCCCTAATTTACTATTGAAATCTAATTAGAAAAACAACAACATGTTTTCTGTCAACAACATCATACTTCCATGTTAATTACTCATTTCCGTGGAAAGCTTGTTGAATAATAAATTTGTAAACAGTAATACATCATTTTGCACTAATATACAATAATATTATTATACTTGCCTTACTATAAATACTAATTTTTGAAAATAAATAGCCTAATCCTAACTTAGTTCAAAATATTAATGAACAATATAAGTAGACTAATCGACTGTTGAAAAATTAAACATACTGTTTAATATTTATGATAGAAAGAATAGTTTCATCACTATGTCTTATCCTCTTTTTGTGTTTGTTACTGACAATATGATATGCAGCAATGTACAGAAAATCTGTAATAAAAATAACGCACACATTCAACATAGCCCTGCACTAGGGAAACCCTGTGTTGCGGGTGCTATGGACACACACATAGACAACCACAAATTACACCCAAACTCTTGAGAGAAATAAATGTAGGCCGTACAAATATTTCTCCCAGCCCGGGAATCAAACCTGGGACTGTTCGGCCACAGAGGTAGTAATAGGTTTATGTGACACATTTTATGTTTCTTTACTTATTATAACTATGTATGTTATAAATTTTAAAAAATTACTTTTAGGTGAAATCTGCACCTGTGATATTAAATGGTGACCGAGTGCCATGCAGTGGTGATCCACCATGGCCTCCTGGGACCACTCCGGCAGCTACTGGGATCAAAAACCATGGGAACACTTGTTATATGAACGCAGTCCTTCAGTGCCTTTCCCATACGGATGTTATTGCTGAGTATTTTGTTTTAGACCTTTATAAGGTAAGGTTTTTCTTTTAATTTAACATTGTTTTACTTTCAACAATAAAATTATGGCCAGGAAAACCTGCAGGAGAGTGATCAAGTCTTCGTGAGTCATGTGAGATCACTAGAATGTATTAGGGGTTAAAGTATGAAATTGCCGTTTCGCACTGAAAAATTAAAACAATTTTTTTTAAGATTAAATATATTTGTTTAATCAAAGTTTTTTCCCTTGTTGTCTATACATTTCTGCCATGTAATCGGAAGGTCATTTAAACCTTTGCGATAGAAGTCTGGAGACCTGGACTCCACAGCTGTGTGAAGGGATTTTTGTACTGCTTCCTCGGAATTTTATTTCCATACAAAAAAAAATCAAATTGCGGGAAAAATGGTAGTCGGTCGGGGCGAGGTCCGACGAATATGTAGGATGATGGATAATTTATATCTGCAGGTCCTGTAGTAGTAAAACTGTTTCTCAAGCAGTGTGAGGTGTTGCGTTATCATAGAGCAATAATGGTGAAGCTGTTTTGCTGCGAGTTCCGTCGTCATTATTCAAACGCCATATGTCATATTGTGGGTATGCTAACATTAAACCATGACGTTTCGTGGTAGTTTGATACGGATCGGCTTCCATCATTACCTTCAATTCAACGTTATTTACATTTGCCGGCGTTTGCCGTATTTGCGTATACCGTATCCTCTCCAAATACAGCATTGACAGTTTCTGCTACGTTAACTCCATGTGGAAATTCGTATTCGAAAATTAGGTACTCAGATTTTCGCTGTATCTGTCTTCACGTTAAAAGCTGAATGTAAAAACAATTGAAAGTCGAACAATCAAATATCATGTTTTTAAGTTAAGCATGTTTTAATTTTCGCGTGAAAAACGTTTCACTCTGAAATCGGACACCATACAGGTTTAATTTTAATTTAAAGTGGCCAGTAAAATAAATCGGCAATTTCATATTTAAACCCCTATTATTAGGATGGCACTGGCTGTCCTACATTACTGGATAACAGCAGGTTGGGATTATGCGACTTGTTCGTCCCGTCACTTGAATAAAAAAAAAGCTTTTTCACATACTGTGACCTGAAAGCCTTCGTTTATGGCCTTAGTTTCTGTGCACCATGGAACACTAATTACACTACAAGTCGGAAATGACTTATGGGATTGAAGTTACTTAATATCAGTTTATTTCCAGCAAAAATTGCCAATGCAAATAAATTTGGTGTTACACATTATTTGCATGCCATTTAATTGATGTTCATTTGCTATAGTGGGTCTATGATTAAATAAACCTTGATAGTCAATGTCATACTGCAATGTTGTACCTATTTTCATGATGTGTTGACTGTTTTTTAGCTAACGGAACTAAAATACATACTTTACAGTATTTTAAATGTATAGAGTACTTTTACTAGTTATCATTTGTCTTAATTTATGAGTACGTTTTTCACATTGGTGAATAATCTTTTAATGACTTGCTTACTGGACTAAAGTGGAGTAGGGCACTCAAATGTTGCTGGTTAATTGTTATTACACACTGAGCGTTATGGTTTGCTCTTGTGGCATAAGTAGATAAATATCCTCTCCTCCATTGGTCATAATACTGGATATCCATAATATTATTTATTACATTATATCAAAGTAATTTATATATCCTTCTGTTCAGTAACTGTCATACAGGTATGACAGAACATATTTAGGAATGAGTAAGACATATAATCTTAATTTTAATAACTGAGCATTCTTGACTAATTTTATGTACCTATACTTTTGTTATTTTTTATATAATGCAATTAATGAGATTGACATAAGTTGCAGTTCAAGATGTGACATGCTAAAAAGATCATTTGTTACCATACAAAATTTGCCCAATATCAGTACAATACTTAGCAAGGAGAGAATTGATTTGTTAACTGCCTTTTTGTAGTCTCATTTTTGTTGTGTAATAATGAAGTTAGTTAAATTATTTGTTCTAGGTGGATCTACAAAAGAGAAATAAAATTAATTCAAAGAAGTACGGCACCCGAGGTGAAGTAACTGAACAGTTGGCAGCTCTTTTGAAAGCGCTTTGGGCTTGTCACTATACACCTGATATGAGCACATCTTTTAAGGTATTATTGATAGTTTTTTTTTTCTATAATATTTGACAATATTAGCATTTCAAGTGCAGTGAGTTCTGAGTGGAATGGTCCATTGATGAGGCGCTGATATTTTTTCTAGCTTGCATCAATTGAAGAACTTATGCATCAACCTATGTAGATTCTGATATGTATATTCTGGAATTACTCAGAGCGCTTGCACTATCTGTACAAGCTCTTTATCTGGAGGAAATATTTGCGATTCTGTTGTGCAAAGTAATTGAAAAACAAATTAATAACAAGTATCGGCCTCTCTTTTCGTTCTCTATGAGAATGGGTCAAGGACAATTGCCGCAAGCGAATCGTGTCCCCTGCAAGACGCGAAATTATATCTCTGGCTAGTTTAGACAACCATAAATGGGTCACTATTACAGGCTACTGCCTATAGAGGATATTAGAATTTCAGATTCAGTACTGTACATGATTTTGTATGTTTGTTAGAGTTTAAGATATGGTATAGATATGGTAGAAAAAAAATACAGTTGCTTCTTGCAAATTCTGTTTGAAAAAGTATGTTTTGAAAGTTTATACCAATCTCACTGAGATCACATTTCACGCACTGTGGTCATTAGAATGTGAGTCTGCATTAACATCTGTTCATGTGTTCACATTTTTATGATAACTGTTATGATTGATATGATAATTTTTGCTAGAATTTGCAACTTGTGATTTTTATATTAGTTATAATTTTTTCCATGTTAGGGAAGCCTCACTTATTGGCACTTAAGTCATAACATAACACACAAATGATGCAGAAATGACTTCACCTACTCAAGTAGCATTTCCATTGCAATGCAATTGCAAAAAAAAACAGTTCAAATTCAGTTAGGTGTTTGGTTGGACTGTGTACAACAGGCCACCACCCAATCAGTATTTGGCAGCAGTCGCACCTACTGCATTCAAACTGCTTTCAAGAACTACTTGTGTGACTTCAAACCAAACGTTTGCGTTTTATCTCTACAGATACCAGGAAAAATGAATATTCAATTCAAAAAGTATCTTTGTTTCACCTATCCAAGCAGTAATATAAGGCTTATTGCGTTTCGGTTTTGAAGGATAAGCGCCCAGTTACACGATAAAAGTTTTCGCGAGGGCGCCGCGCGGCAACCGCCCAGTTACCACGCCTTCATCTACATTAATGGCGAATCTGAATTCTATTTACTAGGCAACAAAATTCTTCTGAATAATACAAACGCGCGGTCGCCGCGCGGGCCGCCGCGTAGACTAAATTCAAGCCAGTCTCGCCCGCGTGCCCGGTACGGTCACTAAAGTTAAAACGTAAAAGCTAAATAAATAAAGCATATTTTGCCATGACAGTTAGACGCACGCGCTCGGCGACCACGCGGGGTGTGCGCGATGAAGATTGGTATCGAATAAATGCGCCCTAAGGGTGCTGGTGAAATTTTATGAGTTCATGGGACTTGTCAACTTGTGACCCAGGATGTCAGGAGCATCTTTGTGATTTAAAGCTCTGAGTGGCACTCCGACTGTTATGGGCAGGCGTGTCGTTTCCCACCAGGCGCACGACTTGTTCGTCCTGTCAATTGGTATCATAAAAAAAGGTTGTCAAAAGCTGTGTTTATTGTTTAAAAAATCTTTATTAAATTCAAAAACATACTTTATTGCGCAACATTGGAAATTAGCTCTAACTACTTAAAATTTCGTAACTGGGGGGTCTTATTGTTTTAAGCAATAGGTACTAACCAATGTACTATAATTTTGGTATAAGCTGTCAAGTCGGGTTAAATATTAAACACTACCCAATTTTTAAGTGCCTTACTTTAAGGGTGGGGCGTAGCACCTAGTTAGGGGATAATTTCAAAAAGATTTTTCTGATGTTATCAATAGTAACTGTTCACCAATGCATTGGAAGATGCCTTCAAGTTACTGAACTGGAAAGGACTCGGCATCAACATCAATGTCGAGTACATCACTCACCTTCGATTCGCTGACGATATCGTGGTCATGGCAGAATCGTTGGAAGAGCTTGGCACCATGCTCGGTGACCTGATATTACCATCGATTTGAGCATACGTAAAGTAAATTTAGTTTAAGTTTGGTGCATTTTTCTTTTTTTACAAATAAGAAAAGTACAGTAGATTTAATTGTACTTAAATAAGTCCGTCGATTAATAAATTTAGTGACTGGTTAACACCAGTCACTACTTCTGGACGATATGTAATTGAATCACAACAATATTCAAATTATTATTATTATGGTGGCTACATTCAGGACCTATGCAGTCCTTCATCACTGCGACCATTAAGTACTCTATCGTGATCACTATTAATTACAATTTGGAGCCAAGGTCATCAGTGTTAAAGAATTGTAGGCTTTCCTGGCTTCGACTGTTTTGATCTCCTCTGGTTGCTAGAGGTTCTCTACAGTGTGTAGTACTGTGGGCTTTTTTTAGTTGTCAGGGCTTTTGTATGCTCAAAACCCAAATCCAGATGTTCTGGGAGACATGTGCTGTCTGTCCCTAATCAGGATCAGCCTAGCTTCTTCCGGCTCATCAACATTATTCATAAGGAGTTATAAAAGTTTGATAGTTATAAATTAAAATGAAATCTGTAAATTTTTTTTTATTGATAATGAAAGAATTTCTACATGACACTGTTTTCTCACAAATATTAATTCAGAACTGGTTTTAATAATTTCAGGGGGCAGTTGAAAGGCACGGCACACAATATAGAGGTAATAGTCAACATGACGCACAGGAATTCCTATTTTGGCTGCTAGATAAAGTGCACGAAGATTTGAATACGGCAACTAAGAAGAAATATAAAACTATCAAGGTAGGTTTGGAATGTCCTATGACAGGCATTGCTATCTTTAAAAAGAGTCTTTTGTCTCCTGTTCATCTATGAAACAAATAAACAATTTTTTTCCAAGAGAATATTATGTAAGTCAAGATAATGTTTGCATAAGAAATGCGCAATACAAAACCTGATAAAATACAATCAACAAAAAAATCAATAATGCATCAATATAATATTCTTTTTCATGTTTGTCTGTTTGATGATGTCTAGCTATTTTTATTCTTAACTGTTATTTTTTTCAGAACACCTGCGGGAAACCAGACGAGGTAGTGGCAGCAGAAACATTAGCAAACCATGCCCGAAGGAACAGTTCATTTGTGCAGGCAGTTTTTCAAGCACAATACAGGTATATTAGTTTTTAATAAATTATTATTACCGAACACACTTTTCGTCTCTTATAATCAAGAATTAAAGATCGGTAGCAATAAGTAATAACCTTTAGTAGCAGTAGAGCTCCTTGTGAAAGAATTCGTCCAGAGACGTACTGCCACCTTACCTATTTCTGCTGCCAAGCAGTAATGTGAGCATTCTGTCAGCAGTAATGTCTGCGTTCCGGTTTGGAAGGGTAAGGGTGTCGGTGAAATTACAGGCAGACGGAACTTGTTAACTTATGTCTTAGGGTGACGGGCACAGTGGCAGTGTCCCTAAAATCTTTGCGATTAAAAGCTGCAATTGTTATGGGTAGGCGTGTCGCTTACTATCAGGCGCACGACTCGTTTTTCGTCGCGTCATTTGGTATTATAAAAAAAAACCTTGCGGTAGCTGGTCCCTCTCTTGGCAATATCAGTATCAGAGTAATACGAAATCCAGTCACATTAATGTGTATCAATGAATTAACAGAAGACCTAAACTAAATGTTATTTCTATAGTATAAATCATAATTAAATGTACAAAATTACATTTTGTACATTTAATTATTATATTTATAAATTATATATTATATTATATTATTATAAATTACATTTTGTACATTACAAGTACGATAACCGATCAAAAAAATAGTTGGTAATTTCCTATTTTTCACAGTAGTAAATGATTAGAACTCTTTTCAAACTGTCATCCGATTAAACTTAGACCTATTCACAATTTGCAATTTAAATTTTTACTTAGTTTCGTTTAGTGCATTAATTATAATAAAAGACTGTAGTTAAGATAGTAAATAATTTTATGGCACTGGTAACTATCACGATCAAAAACATTTTTTGTGCAGCCATGTTTTCGTGTTACAGATGTCATTCGTGCTTCTTTTCTGGAACTTGAATGTTTTCTGAGATAATGATTTTTTTTAAATTATTGTATGTAGTTAGTAACATTTTGTTTATTGTTATATTTTGTAATAGATAATTAATATTGTAGAAAATGAAAGCCTCTTCCAATTCCGTTAAATATTTAAGGTTTAGCACACCTGCATTGACACTTTGACAATAACATTTCATGACATTTCTTTGTCAAAATTTTGGACACTAATTATGATTCACACTATAGTGGTTATTATTTTTGGTACAAAGATCGAACAAACACAAAGAATAATTCCTACGATACGATCCGAACCAGTGTCGGTTGCCTCACCGTGGCTACTATAAGACCAACTGAATTAGTGATCGAGTTAGCAGATTTTACGAAATTTTCTTTCAATAAATGTTCATTCATGGCTTTTCAGGTCAGCGCTAACTTGTGCGAAGTGCGAACGAACGTCATGCACCTTCGACCCGTTCCATTGCGTTAGCGTGCAGCTACCCTCGCGGCAGGCGCCTGCGCAACCGTCGCCATTGCCCGTCAATGTGAGTGCTCCCTCAACAAAACGCTATATTGCATAGTATACTACGGATCGCTAGTATTTAATGGCTGACGCTATAGCATAATCACTTGTTGATAAATGAATTCTTTCAGGTGGTATACGTGAACCAGCAGCCGCGTCAAGTGCGCATCGGCGTCGAACTCGCGCCCAATTCGACGATGGACGATCTTAGAACAACTCTACATACTGACACCGGCATCGATCGCGAACATATCATACTAGCTGAGATAAATGAGACAGGTATCTTATCAGCATTTTTTTTTTCATATACAATTCTATTATACTTAATCAAAGTCAAATAATCTTTATTTCATAGGTAAGCAAATTACACTTAAAATCGTCGTACTGATTAAACTCTACTGCTTATTCGTAAGGCAGATTCTCCTGAGAAGAATGAGCAAGAAACTCTAAGGGTTGCTCTTTGCAAAATACATTTATCATTACAATATTTAATTGAAACATGTTAGACGACACTACCCGCAAGGAATTGAAGTAGTTGAACCTCCCTAAAATATGAATGTTTTCTTGATATGGACATACCCATTTCGTAATCAATGTGTATAAAAAAATTCCTGGTTATTTTCTAAATAGCCCAAAATATAGGTAATGTTATGTTTATTTTTTAAATGGTTAAAATATTGAAAGACCTAAGCATCTCTTTTTTTTATAAAAAATAAGTTCGCATTTGACCTCCATCTCACCTGATGGAATGTGACGATGAGGTCGAGGATGTAGCATGCACACCTAAATAATGCCTATTCACTGTCGCCTTGAAAATGTCCAAGTTATAGCGTTCGGAGAACAAATCTGCAGGCAGGGAATTCCACTCCCGAGCCACTCGTCATACACGAGAACGCTTCGTGCTAATTCGGGGAATATCTACAATATAGGGGTGGAACCCCCGTCCACGTCTAGTCTCCCGATGTTGGAAAGGAATGCCAAGCTTCTTAGCTGCATTTTTGGCCATGGATTCAATGTAACTGCCGAAGTTCAGATTGGATGATAGGTCCATTCCTAGTAGGTGAAGACGGGCGGCTATCGGTATGGATATATCACGAAAAGTCAGAGTCAGGTGAAAGGGACTCCGTTTAGTGAAGAAAAAAACCTATAGAACAACTACAATATTATTTTTTGAGACAAGAATTTGTAGGAAATAATATACTTTGTCGCCAATGTACTCAAATTGCACAAACAATGTACTTATTTTATATTTTGTATGAAAAACAACTTTATTAAATTTGACCAACTTCGGCTGTCTCGATTTTGTTCATTGCGTGCAATGAAATCTTCCTTTTATGAAGCTGAGTCTATCAGCATAAAAAAAGTCAGTTTTATTCATTTTGTATGAACTACATTTTCTGAAATGCGACCAACTTCTGCTGTCTCGATTTTTTTGGTCCCGTACAATGAAATGATCCCTTCATGAAAGTAAGTCGTTCAGCATTAAAAAAAAATTATAGACAAAAAACAGGTTATGCTTGACCAAAAAATTTATATGCCAAAATTGTTTTCACAACAAAAGAATTTATTATATATACATATGATACAGTTTCCTTGTATCTTCTATGGTTTCGGATTTCCCCATGCTGTCCCATTAAATCAAAAACTGCATAATACGCATATGTAAATATAATCGTTCCGAAAAGTCCCGGGATTACTATAAGGGTATGTCCATGTTATCTTTAGTTTAGCTAAATCAACTCCTTCATTTCCGATAACTGATAATTATATAGTATTTGATATGTCCCTACTATCCCTATTTAACATTTAAATTCAACCTTGACCTAGAGCGATTATCCGAAAAAATCGCTAAAAGAATTCAACTAGCAACATATGTTTTATAACTAGATTTTCATATTTATAATTCAGGCTGGTGCGTGGCTCGCGGTGGCTGGGAGATGGCGGGAATGGATTTTGGCGCGCTATACTGCGTGGAGGCGCCGCCTCTACTGCAGACACCCACCACACCTTACCTGCTGCTACTCTGGGTCAACCTGCTCGACGGAGAGAGATTCGGTAACTATTCTCTACGTTACATTCTTAATGACCTGGCTGATTGTGGCAGTGATCAAGTTATACTATAGATTTCATGAGGGCAAACCTTTCTTGATTCTTCCGGATTGTTTTAGGCACTACAATTTTATTTTATTTTTTATTTTTATTGGATAAGGTACAGCAATAGATTACAGATCATAATTTACAATAGATCCACACTATTTGTAACGCTTCTTTTTCTAATCCATTGAACAACTTAATCTTATTGTGAAAATCACTTTACTCACAGGTTCGCCATATGCGATGCAAGTGCCCCGCGAGATTTCGTACGAGGACCTGCAGAAGCTGATGCTGAAGGAAATGTGCCAAATCGTGGCTGAGCGGGTGTTAGAGAACGCACAAGGGAGCGAAATTTTCCGCGCGCGCATTGCCGAAACGCATCGGCCCAGAGATCCCGCTTATTTGTTACCAGAGGTAAAACATTACTTTTACCATGAGCTATTAATTCATACAAATTAACTATAGTACATATTTAAAAGTATAGATGGCAACACTTGGATAAAATATAGAGAAAAAAATATTAAATCTCGAAAATTGAGATATGTCTAATCTGTCCTAATTATGAAGTATTAAATGTAAAAAAGAAATTCATCACATTTTAGAAATGTTCGATTAAAAAGTAAAATTCATTTACAACTATGATAATTGGTGAAAACTGTAGCTAAACTGTCGGTGAAAGGATGACATCGAAGGTTCCTCAATAATGTATATTTTTGATTTGTTAGTTTGCAAGAAATTGTGTAGGTGGCATTTCTTTGAATTTGTTCTCGAAACGAAATAATGTTTTAGCACGAATTTTATTTTAAAATATCAAAAGTACAGATTCAACTACTTTGTGATTTTATTGTACATATAATCAATGCCTGAACAAGAGCAATAACCTTGACAAAAAATTTCTAACTGCCATCTGTTGGTCTTTTCGAACATAATTACAATCGCATCGCGGGTTTACTCGGTATCATCCAACCATCTATTGACTTATATGCTGTTGATAGATACGCTGATCAAAACAAGCGTCCGAGTAAGCATATTTTAGAGTGCGACATTTCTTTGTATGAGATTGGGTATCTATACTAGTATAGTATTATATTATCTGTGCTTTACTTTAGTTGAATTCTCACTTTCAAACAAACACAAACAACAACAAGAAACAGTTGCTTAAATTTTGTATTATTTCAGTTACCACATCCGTTGTTCGCGTTAGACGTAGAGCAAGCTCTATGCGCGCACGAAAAATATCCCCACCTTCGGCTCGAATTGCTTTGGGACCCTGCACATAGGGACAGGTAATGTATTACGTTCTCTAATTAATTAGACACGGAAACTAAATTATTTGCACGGCACGACTACAAGGCGATGGCCGAGCTTGATTTGATCGTTAGCGTATCGTAAATTTGACAAGCGAACCTTACAAGGCTTTAGTCTTTTTTATACCAAGTGATGGGATGAACAAGTCGTCCGCATTGTGGCTTTTAAATTTAAATTAAGTTTTTTGTCGAAAATGACGTCTAAGCCGCAGTTCAACAATTTTGTTAACAGCTAATTTCGCACAATTAGTTATGCAATTTTTCCGGATCTAGTATAACATTATATTAATAATCATCTAAAAAAAATAGAATGACCATACTTGATATTATGTAAATTATATAAGTAAAGTCTGTGTAGATAAATTATTATTTATGTGTATAATGTTTATATAAACATTATATAGTGACCATGGGGTTTGTGCCTGATTGTAAGCTACACGCCTGTCCATAACAGTTGCAGTGCCACTCAGAGCTTTAAATCGCAAAGATCTTAGGGGCGCTGCCTCTGCGCCCGCCACCCTGAGACATAAGTTGACAGCTCTCAAGTTCCTGTAATTTTACCAGCTCCCTTAACTTTCAAAACCGAAACGCAATAATGCCCACATTACTGCTTGGCGGTAAAAAGAAGTGGCAGTAAGTCACTGGCCGAACTCTTTCACACGGAGTTGTGCTGCTACTAGTGTGCACGGTGAAGTACATGTTATCACAGTTCGTTGAATGGTTGCAGTATTATCCGGTCGGCGCAGGAGTCGTGCGAGGTGCACGTGTCGGCCGCGTCGTCCAGCTGCGCGGCGCCGCTCACGCTGCACGCCTGTCTAGCGCACTATACACGCGCCGAAAGGCTCGCCCAGGAAGACGCCTGGAGGTAACTGGCTGCCTCTTCCTCATCACGTCACTTCTAGCCACGCGTGTCGATAGAGAGCTAATAGCTGGCACTCTGTTGAGACTCAATGCCGTTGCAACTAGATTTTAGGTTACTTTCTCAAACTCGTTTCTTAAAGCAAAAGCATACAAATTTTGCAGGCTGATATATAATATCACATCATATCACATTTCCTTCATATTCACACACTGGCTTTTACCTATTCTTAAAGTTATGCATCCAAATTAACACCCGTGATAAGAAATTTAAAATATATAGAAAGTTTTGCCATCTCCTGAATAATCACTCTTTATCACGGATTTATATATTTCATAAACTGGATCGCGCACTTCGATATACCAATATTACAAATTTACACCTTATTGGGTTATGTTAAGGTATATTTTGAGTAAAAGTAAAAAACCGAGTCACGTGAGATAGCTCGAAGCAGTGGTCTGTCCTTGTCTAACAAGTTGCCAACGCTAAATAAAATCATCTTAGGTAGTATCTAGTCTATTAACTTTTTTAAATTTTGCTTAAATAAAATTAGCTTAAAGGTAATATGCTTTTAGTGTAATAATACAAAAAAATATATATGAACAATAAAACCTTCTGTTATTAAGTAGCATATCAAATAAGTATTATGAAAACTAATTTGTATTATGAAATAATATTAGTAGTTTTGGTCATCCATAAGCGGCCACATTTTCTGTAAAAATTAAAAAGTTACAAAAAATATTTCTGGCTGAAACATGACTGAACACCCTATTAGAAAGAGACGCATTACTACTTTGAAGCCTCTCACTCGGCTCGTTTTGTGCGGTGCAGTTTAATATACGAGTTCGTGCTCTTTATAAGATACGTGTTTGAGAAAGTAAGGCATCGAAATATTATCATAATTGCAATGTAATCTCAGAGGAGTCCCCATGGAATTATAACGACCGCTGGTTGCATTGACTAACAATTATATGGACGTCGGGTCCGCGCTACACAGAGCGTCATTCACGCTTTAGTCTTCGTTTGTTCGACTGACAGCGAAGCAAGCAAAATTAGACACTGTACTGCGATGACATTACAATTTAAATTCAACATTTTAGCTTTTTCATATTCCTTTACATGTCACTATGTTTAAATAGGTTCACTTGGGACATTTTTTTCGTGGTTTGTGTATTAGACCCGTCGTCCATTTATTTGTAAGTCAATAGCTGGTTGCAAATAAATTAGCAGACTTGTAGTAGACGAGTATGACATTTTGTAATCAGTCGCGTTGTACAAATCTGAGTATTATGGCCACTAGTCTTTAAGTTCGATGTTTAATATTTACGCCCTGGTATTGTACCTTACTCCTTTTTGACGATCTCGGTAGCCCAGAGAATAGCACTGTAGGTGCTATCTTTCATTTCACATAGCATGGGTACAGTGACGTTTGAGATTTCAAATTTAGTGTAGTGATAAAAAATCGAATAAAAAAACCGATTTAAATATCTTATCGCAATAATTTGTAACGTAAAATGAATACTTTTAGAGAATAATTTAAGAACGAATAATAAACAAAATGAAAAGGATTCAAGTTACAAATAAGAAACCAACAACAACCAAACAAAAACGCGGCAACAAAGTATAAGATCAACAGCTACGAAACGAAATTTGAGCAATTAGACCTAAAACGTGACACAAAACTGAAAACAAAAGTATACTACCAGCATTCAAGGTGTATGCACTCATATTGACGCGAGAGACAATAACGGGTTCCATTTATCGATTCTATAGTGTAAATCTCAATGAACAAATATTCCGTTTTACGCATTTTCTATCTACTTAATATACTGTAATGTTTTCTTTAAATTACGTCTGCTGCTTGATTAACTGTTATGAAAAAACAGTTATGTGAAGAACAGTGACATAAATAAAATCCTTTTTTTTTACAGATGTCCCCAATGCCAAAGATATATGCCTGTGGTTAAAACTCTTGGGCTGTGGTCACTTCCAGACGTCTTAGTTATACACTTGAAGAGATTTCGACAGTAAGTATATTAACAAATAGTGGGACTCCATAAAACAATATGTGGAAGCATATTCAACTTATTATTTATTTCAGACAAGCGAAAGGGCGCACGAGCACGAAATTAACGGCAATGGTCGAATTTCCACTAAATGATTTCGATATGACGCCTCATCTCGTCAGAAGAAACACGTCCGTAGCAGAGTCACCCAGTCACTCCCGTTCACCACGAAGGAGGCTATCAAAAACACCCTCGCACAACCCCCACGACAACATGTACGATCTCTACGCGATATGTTATCACCACGGCGATGATTTAGAAACGGGCCATTACACGGCAGCTTGCAAAAACCCTTACGACGGACACTGGTACAAATTCGACGATTCCAGAGTCACACCAGTGGATGACGAAAACGCATACAGTGAACTAGTTAACAATTCTGCTTATATGTTGTTTTATCGACGTAAGAAACCTTTAGTGACCCATCCGTGTTCTACTAACGATCAAAACGGGCATTGGGCGCTGCGTATGCCGAAGCTATTGCGACGGCCGAGCGAAACTTTGAACGAATTGACAGAAGTGAAAGAGGAGAATATTGAAGATGCCAAAATCGAATCTGTTACCAATGAAATAGACACCGAATCCGATGTCACTGCGACCCATAGCCCATCGCTTTCGAGAAGAAGTGTAGCGAGCCTGCCTGACGACAATATGACGGATATTACAAATCATGTCAATCAGAACCAGGTCACGACCCTGATACATAACACAGCGTCAATTATCCAATCACCAACGTTACAAAGGCCGCTACTTATTGAAGTAAATGGAAATCAAACGATAAACGAAACGAGCGAAAACGACAATGAAATTTGCGGGGCCAACGAGCCTTATATTCATAAAGACGTGCATGTCAATCCTAAGATGACGCCTGTAGACTCTAGGCGGCCTAGATCCGTGGACTACCCTTCTAGATCGAACGCGCCGACCACTAGAGATGCGAATAGAAACTACGAGAGTTCCCCGTTGGTAGCTAGTATTAACGGCGTCGAATATCATCCCACCACTGAAGATATTATGTTGTCTATGTTTCAAGAATCCAAGTTTGTGGTCCCGCGGCACACGAGTCATATCACTGGGGAACCTCATAGAGCTGGTAAGTATTTTTTTGTCTCAATTGAATTCAAATACGATACACCCTACCAATGTTAAGGCAGGTGTTAATTAGCTCTCAATATTTTTAAAACTGGTACATATATTCGTTTTGTATGGCTTTTGTACAGGTTGACCAATTTATCTGTAATATGGACTTTAAACGGAACTAACGCTACCATGAAACTTAAGATAGTTACCCCAAATGAATTATCTTTGGGTTACTGCATAATTTGGCTACGTTCCGAATCGCACTGACAGCGCTGTTAGCGCTGACATCGATTACAAGGCGTTCCGAAACAGTTATCGCGATTATGACAGTTGTATGATTTTAATGATTCGGAACGCAAATTCTCATGCTAACAGCGCTAACGCACAAACATAACCTCACTTTCGCTTTGTTTTGTTACTGCATTGGTGATATTTTTTTATTATTACTGTAACAATTATTAAAATGATGAACCCTAAAGCTAAACAAACAAACAAACAAACAAATAAACAAAATAAAAATATTTACTTCTTCGCGCGCAATTGAAAACGTTGAAACGTCACTTTTGACAGAACGATTACAACGATCACAACGATCTTGTGGGCAACGTTAGCGCAAGATGGCGCATGTAATGACGTAATCCGTGACGTGTCGCTGTCGGTCAAGAGGTTGTCGTTAGCGCCCTAACACTGATTCGGTACGCTTTTATGGGCGCTGTGAGCGCTGATGGCGCGATTCGGAATGCAACCTTTGTTTACTCTAGCACGACAGCTCAGATGGAGAGGGCGATCTATATTAATACTTAGATATATACGGAATTCGGAACTCGAAAATATACAATTTTTTGAGCTATTGGCTTAATCTTAGTTCCATAACTTATTGAGTGAGCTCTGTTCTGTTTATTATTGTTGTTTTGTGGCTTTGTCTTATCAACATTGAATGTTTGCAGGCGAAAAGTCTTCCGTTTGGAAAACTCGAATATCCACATGATAGCCGTCGAAGCCTCAAGAAAGCACGCAATTCTACATACGTAGTGTACACAAAACACAAGATCTGACAGTTCCCATTAGTTAACAGTTACTTTCGGTATGTTTTTCTTGTTGTAAAGGTTGAGAAGATGTTTACCCTTGCTAAGTTGCGGAGTTCTAAAGAATAAGTTTTCAGGAAAATTGACGCCAACAGCTAAGATAGCGCCGCTTTTCGGGGTCCAAAATATTATTTTCAGCCTTTGAGTTCATTATTATTATGTGAAATGGATAGAGGCTTATTAGTATAGTTTACTGTGTTATTTATTCTACGAATTCGTAACGTATATTTCCAAAAATGTCTTCAATCTTTTCTAAATATAATACATGGCCAATGTGGATTGTGTTAAGGTCTAATAATGTTAGTTCATGCATAATTATCAACACGTACTTCTTTGTTTGAATTTTATTATTTTATTGTTTGCATATTAAAGTTGCGTACCAAAGATCGGTTGAAAACATGATACTCATTTGGAGGAGGTAAATGGCAGGAATTAATGTAGTGGATGTTTTTTGTATACTTCCTATTTATTTTCTCTGCCTTCTCTACGATATTGACAAATCTGTAATATAATGAATGCATTATAGTGGTGTACATTGTTGAATGGATTTGCAAATTACGTTAAAACTGTAGATAACATCGTATTTAGTACGAAGGTAGCTAGCGGGCGTAATAATCAAATTTTTCATACAAATACCACACTTGTGCCTTGGCCCTAGAGATGTTGTGATTTTAATAAATTAAAAAAAATGCAGTTGCTGACGTAAGAATTATTGTAAGGCAAAGGAATATGAAAAATCTTTCACACTAAGCGCAGTGCTGTTTTCTAAAGTCCACGCTTAAGAACTTATGGGGTTTTACGGAAGTTGATGATTACATTGTTCATAATAACTATGCTATTTGATATTATATTCTTTTCTCTTATCAGTTCGCCACATCAAAGTTTATTTAGTTCTAAGGTTTAATATTCGGTTGAAGTTACTCTGTGTCATTCTTATATGAATTATGGATGTTTTTTAAAACATGTACAATGTCAAAACATAGTAGCCGTACTTAACTAATCAATTAAAGGTTTTCTTTAACCGTTTAGATGTATGGATAGTATTAGAAGTGACATTTTGTCGCGTTAACAGGCAGGGAGTGGACTTCGGAGCTTGGACTTTAGAAAACAGTCATGAAGTAATGTGTATTTCTTAATTTTGATACGTTAAGTATTGTACAGATTTTACGTTTGGATTATAATTATGACCGGTGTCATAATGTCTTGTGTTTGCTTATATTAAATGCCACTTACACTGAAAATATGCCTTCGGTGTAAGTCGCAATTAATACTTGTTATAAATGCCACTTACACTAAAATCATGTTGCAAGGTATGAATGTGATTTATACTTTGATAATTTGTGAAATAATGTATATATTGTCCTTGGTAGTATGTTTTTTACCTGATGAAAATGATTTTATAAGAGATAATATAATATTTTGATTTACCACCTTGTAAATATTGGTAAATTTATTTTCGTTAGTTTATGCACCGGACTTGTATGTGATTTTTTAAATATTTATATTGATTTCTTTTTTTTTGTAAAAGACAATTATTATAGTGTAAGTTCACAGTGATTATTTAAGTGGCCTAAATTAAATGATATAACCATTTGTAACGGTGATTTTTCGAAGATTTGCAAGAGCAAGTAACCAGCTTATATTCCAATTCGCTTACAGTTGAAAATGATAACGATCTTTGCAGACAGGTATGGATTGTTGGCAAGCGATAAAAGTAAAATGTCATTGCAGCAACATTTAGCATTTAACAGCAGTTTTAGGTCTACCAGAAGCTTTCTCAAACGAGAAAATCGTTATTTGATATTATTTGGAGAAACTTCTTGATAATATAAGTTTTAAGACTCGCAGTGCATTGAAACTCCCGATACATGTAAATTTGTTAGCTGTATTTAAAATAATTATATTAATAAGTAAGTGCATTACACAATGTGAGTCAAACAACGTAGCAACCAACATGATCATAGTTTTACGAAAATGGCACCTTAAGACTTTTTTCTTTGTTTTTGATAATTCCAAAATTAACTTATAAAATGAACATTTTTGCAGTTATCACCTTAGGAATTATGAATTGTTGTGATTTTTATTACTATAATTCTCCAACTGCAAAAGTTATCATTTTATAGGTAAACCTTGGATAAAATATCAAAACGAACGAAAAAATATTCTGGTGCCATTTTCGCAAAACTATAACTATGATCATGTTAGGTGAAACGTTATTGCTTATCAGCATCCACTATTGATTGTCATGTAATTACGAGTCTCTTATAATTCGTTTCTGTATTAATACATGGGTATGAGTATATGTATGTATGCATAAGCGTGTCGAAGTATGACGTCGATGGAGCAAATCGATAGGGAAATTTGTGTAGACAATAAAATTAATTATCAAAAGTGTTCAATCGTAATAACCAATCGGAAATGTTAAATTGGGGATAATATAGAGGTGTTTTGTAAGGATTGCAATGTGATTTCTTTATATCGTATCAGGAAGTTCTGATTGACTTATAGTACCTTGTATTTTAACTACTTCTAACCCAACACTGCTGTTGCGAATGTAGGTTTCACTACAAAGTACTCAAAATTCTAAGTAGTTTGTAGTTGAATTACAAGCTTACTTGTTACCTTTGTAAAATGTATTCTGTAATTACAAGTTACTTAGGCCCACATTGCCGGTGACGTCGTCTACACAATGCTACCGGACCAGTAGCCTGTCTGTAAAAGCCTTAACGAGCGGTGTATAAACATGAATTAATGGCTTTTTAATTTTATTTTATTGTATTTGGTCAATAAAATAAAATGCGAAGAGTTTACAATTTAATAGAGGAAAAACGTTCTATCGTTTTTGAACCGAAATTATTTGCCCAAATACAATTATTAAAAAAATGGACCAGAGATCCATCTTTGCTCAAAAAATCTTCGAAATACGTCAATTTGGTTACTGCCACAATGATAAACTTATATACTCGGGAAAGTAGGTACACGTACTTTAAGAAGATGGCTGGCTCTATACTTTATTTAATTTTAAACATATTGTTTATGTACTATTAGTTTTCGGAGTAGCACGGCCGGTAAGGTGTCGCAGCTAGTAGATTTAAAATTTTGTGATTAAACTAACGGATTAAATCAAAGTGAAAATGTATGTAGAATATTGTTTATATTCAATATTTTTATTTTAGAGTTTCATTTTGCTTTGATCCGCAAAATTATGTATTATTATTAAAGGAATCATGTTTGAAAAGTTAACAGAGAAAGTTGACTAAAGTTGAATATTTTAGAAGTAAAAAAAATATTTCGCAACAAAATAATAAGGTAATTTCAAATTATCGAAGTCAATAAGGGAGAGCTTAGCTTCCCTTCTCTGTTAACGGGCCGTACATCTCCAAAATTTGTATTATGTTCGTTGTTTTAATTTAAAGATATTTATTTTAATCTCACCACGTTATGCTAAAATATAAGTGTTATGTACACATTTATTTTGTTTTATTGTAACATTTCTGCCGCGTTTGTAATAATGTGTTGGCGTGGACTTTTTTAACACTAAGTTAAACTCGCTGTACGTGAGGCGCACTATAAGTTTCCGGAATGAATAAGGAAAAAATACTATAAATGGTCAGAAATGAATTTATTGTTTCGATCGACCAGAATGTCCAGAACGCGCCATACTTGGTACTTGGTATAACGGGCTGGTATCCGCAACTCGACGTCAAGGCGGCTATTTTGCGTGTGGTGGGTGCAGGGTCCTACTCGTGCCACTCAAGCTCCTCCAGGAATCTCAGCAGCCTCCTCGGTTTGCTGAAGACTTCGGGGAGGGACCTTGGCACTCCAAGGTACTTCGCCCTGTAGTTGTGATACCTAAATTGAAAAGGTGTTTATTGTATGGACCATGACCCGTTAGGGCGACAGTTAGAGTGCGAAGCTCTTGCCTTTTAAGTTTAATTAATATTCGAGATAGGCTGGCATTGAGCGTTGGGAGTGCTTCCCTCGTCTGTCTACAAACCGTAAGGGTGGTCCATGTATTATTATGTGAACATTTTGTGCCTTTGTGTATAGTTGTTCTGGACTATTGGTAGGGGAGGGACACTATGGGTTCTGGTCCCACGGGATCTGTTCTGGCTAGTTCATCTGCTGCGTCATTGGCACGTGTCGTTGTGTCCTTTAATCCACTGTAGAGTTACATGGTTTTGTATGCATACCTCCATGAGTACTTGATGACATTCGAAAATGAGCCCGGAGTTTATGTCATAGCTGTTCCGTGCTTGAAGTAATGACATACTATCGGAGAGTATTCGAATGGAGTAATTCTTTACTCTTCTCGCTATGATTGCTTCTGCTGCCAACCTGATGCCCATGCATTCAGCCTGGAGTACTGTGTTGTGGTCACCAAGCGGTGTTGATATCCTGATATATAGATAGATATCCTGTCTTCTGAGAATACCCCAGTACCTGTTCCTGAATTTGTTTTAGATCCATCAGTGAAGACTGACCTCTCTGGGGTTCAGTCCTTCGTTGGGATCTTCAAACAATTGTATCTTGTATTTTTTGTCAAAGATGTATTGTTTTGGGATCCTATCCACAGCCGCCTCCAGTAGCGGTTCCTCATTGACAGTCTTATAAAGGATTTCTGTATGTGGGATCCTCATGTGCTTCCAAAGGCCGGCTCTGTTTAGACGTACTGCTGTTGACGCCGCTTCTTGTCTGATGAGCAGTGGGAGGGGTCGCAGGTCCAGCATCGCTTCGAGGGCTGCAGTTGGAGTTGTCCTCATGCAGCCGGTCGTCGCCATGCAAGCGGCACTATACCTTTATTAAGGATTTGAAGGTAAGTTGTGAATAAGTATTCTGTTACGTTCTTACCTCTATCCTTTGCGAATTCCATGCCCCACGACGGATGGTGGGCGTTGGAGTCAGTAGCCACGATGATATTCTGGCCGTTCTACTCGCAGTAGTTGATTAGCTGTACCATTTCCTGCGGTGGTGGCACATCAGTCTCCGCCTTATAGACAGAGGCGAGCACCACTTCGGGCAGGCCCGTGGCCGCGTCAGCTAAAAGCTTTACGGTACACAGGTCTCTGGAACAGAATTCATTTAGTGGCAGTACATGTAAGTTATTAGAGTAATATATGCAAGTTCTAGGTTTATTTGAGATGGTAGTCGATAATAGCCTGACCTCTCAGATGTGAGAGTCCATTTATTTGGCTACGGGCACTAATCCACGGTTCCTGGATTAGCGCCATGGCTGTGTTGTTAGCCTCCAGCTACTTCCGGAGCTGAACCGTTGCGGCCTGGCTGTGGTGGAGGTTGCTCTGGACGATGTGAGGTTTACTGAGCGAGGGGGAAACCGCCATCAGAAGATAGCAGCTCCTCGTCCACGTCCTGGCTCAGTCGGATGTCTCCCATCCCCAACATGCACTCGTCATCCCTGCTGGTCGCCACCGGTTTGTCAGCGGCGTTCGCAGAGACGGGGGTCAAGGAGGGCCCTTCACCTTCTCTGGGATATCAGAGGAGGTGGAGGGCTCCGGGGAGACGTCCATCCGTGTCGTTGTTGTGCCCGTCTTCTCAGGTGGCACATCGGTGTACAGGCCCCTCTTGGATCTGAACCTGAGGTAGACCGTGCTCAACTGGAAGGTTAGGCGCCGGCCATGCCCCAGGACAGCGGGGACGAGTTCGTCTGGGCGGCTCACCACTACGAAGCAGTGTTCACTATGCTGCTGCAGTTAGTGAACAACCCAGCGGTGTGCCTACGCCCACTTGAGGATGCGGCCGATTCCTCCCAATGGCCAGGGATGAGTAGTCCGCAGACCACCTTCCGGGGAGCCTCCACCCCATTTTTCAATGAGAGGGGCTCCCCGGCACCCACTGGGGGCCTCGCCTCTCCCTCCTTCGGCAGGGGGTTGTTGGCATTGCGACGCTCGCATTCTCTTCGACGGCCTTTCTTGTTTTTTCGGGCAGGGCGTCCCCTGCTCCCACTGGGGGCTGGAGGTGGACGCTCGCCGTGGTAACTTGTCCCTTCCTTACGGATGTGTGCCGTGGCCTTGAATTTGGGCTGGCGACTCACCAGGGTCCATCCTACCTCAAGGGCCGTGTTTGAGGGATTCTGCAATGCAGAACCCGATGTGTGAGCGGGCGCCGCAGAACCTAGGGTCAAAGTCAAAGTCAAAGTCTATTTATTTATCAAAGATTATTTATTCCATAGGTAAAATAAATTTACACTTGAAAACGTCACATTTAAGCTACTGCTACTGGGTTTGGGCCACTACCGCTGGTGTGGTGCTAGCACAAACATCGGTGCTCGGCTGACCTTGGGGTTTCCCCTTTGGCCTACCACTCACCGTAGGGCGCTGTGTGTTTGTGTGTGTTGGTGGGGCACTTTTGGGTTTCACTTCCAGTACCGCCGTTTTTGGGTTATTAGATTTAGAGAAAGAAAGATCGTTAGTGTACATGTTACTATGTGTTTTAATTCACTCTTCTGACTTCCCACCCACCACGGAGCCCGCACCTTTGGGGATGTCCCATTCAGGACACCAGGATTGTCAGGAGAGTATAAGTGCAGGAGTTAAGAGCTCACTGCTGCTGTATGACTTGATCAAAGTCAGCCAGGTGTTCCGCACATACTCACCCCGTCAACATATCCGAGTCCGTCCCCCTCGCACCTCGCCTGTGGCCCTCTGACGAGACTATGCCATTTCCCTGTGTTGGCTAATCACAGGGCTACCGTTTGGCAGGAAATCAGGGCCGAAGAGGGCGTATTGCTTGCCAGGGTCCCCAACCCGCTCGGGCTCAACTCCCCAGGATTCCCTCATCTCTGCGTATGGTGCTCAACTGCGCAGGCATTAACGCAGGAGGGTGGAAATTTAGACTGCCCATCACTTGCCATTGTCCACCCCCAGAAACGCATGGCCGGGCCGTGTTGATCGATTCGCGCCCTCACTGACAATTCTCAGACTGAAGCCGAGAGTTGTCAGTGTTAGCCCCAGGTCGTACCGGCTACATTTTTGGGCGTTCTGTGACAACATGTTATCACAGACTACTCAAGGACTTCGCGCGCGTGGAGGTGGAACAACTAACACACCCCCGCGCCATACTTATGTCATTGAAATACTATGTATTTGTTCGAAGCACTTCGTTT